GCTTGGTGTGCGAAGTGCTGGTCCCCAATGACCTCTACTAAGCTCTTCACGTTAAGCACATGCACTGTTGGTGTACCAAACTGCCTCCCAGGGCTTGATCACACTAATCATTAATCTAATCATGTTCAGAAACGTGGTGGATTTGTGGCACTCCTCCTACTGTGGTTATCAGTGCGAACACTGGAATATCGAATATATATATATTCGGTTAACTTGGGTCGTGATTATAGAAACGTATTTATATTGAATAAAAGAACTTCATATGACAAAAGTCCATTGGGACGTTGTCTTTTGGAAACAAAAATTACAAGGCCAATTCGTGAATTTCAATTAGTTTACCAATAGGCCAGCCGAATAATCCAACCACGCGATGTGTTTGTAATGTGAAATGTGTTTCCTGAATTGTTAAACAGTACTTTGTCGTCATTTATAATAAGGTAAATCCAGAAACAGATTGAAGGGAATACAGCAATGAACTGATTGATTGCCGGGAGTGTTTTGCCCCAGCGCCATAGTTCCCGTGGACCTGAAGTCACCCATGGAAGCAGTTGTCTTCACCCTATCAGCACGATGTCCCTGTTCATCTCTGTTCCTGCACCGTTTAAGTTCGTGATGGTTATTTAAATCGTATAATGTCTTTTCTCATAAAGCTTGAAAAGCCTGTAAGGGAAAAACTACTAAACACGGACAACACCCGGTGTCCCTGTGCACAATGCTGTGAGGCTTGTCTGAAAAATAATTTGTACTGTTCTCTAAGTAGGCTAAATGTTTTGGAATATTCCTTACTAAATCTCACTTTATGGGACATGTTATCACTGAGGTTGTTATAACATTTTAAGGGAAAATTGCTGTTTATATATGGAACGACGTTGTGGTTACACATCTTGTGTGCCACTGACAGCTTTGCATCCTGCAAAGACGTAGTCGGGGAATTATAACGAGTCTTTTCATAAGGGAATGAGTGTGATGATTGGCAGAATCCAGAGGATCCAGAAACTGTCAAAGTTGGACATGATTCAAATTGGATAAAATTTAAGACAGGAGCCTGACAAT